ATTTCCAAGAATTCATTTTCTTTCCACCCATTTTCTACCTTTGCAATCAAACGGACCCTAAGTTTTCCTCAATTTACCAGAAAAAGCTCGGAGTGGTATGAAATAAGATCGGTATTTTTTATCCTCTCTGTCTCTTGAGGAGAATTTCAGGGAAGGAGGGTCGTGTAAGATATTTTGATTAACTAGGCTCTTACTATGTATCGCAAACTTGTCAGCTTTAAGCTCTTTGACTTTTGTGATATTAACAGTTACATAGGAACTTTTACTTTTTCATTGTCAACTAATGGAGTAATTAACTGTTCCATGATGTCTCAGGCTAAATGTTTATGACTTGTACGAAGTGAAGGTGTCTGGGGATGGAAATTGTCAGGTGTGTTTTGTATAGCTATTTGAGGTTTTCGATATTATCTATTGACTTCTTTTCAGTTCCGTGCACTTTCAGACCAGATCTATAGATCGCCCGACCATCACAAGCATGTGCGTAAGGAAGTTGTAAAACAGGTTAGTATCGTATTTGGTATTCAAAATTTTTATTAGAATTTTAGTTTTTCTAATTTTTTTTATTATGGATTTTGTAAGATGGTTTATTATTTATAATGAAAATGTTTCTATTTTTATATTTATTTGAAATTTTGAATTGTTTTATTGGTTTGTTGCTTATGCCTCAAAGCACCTCAATTTTCCCTCGTAGAATCTACTAAGATTTCCTTGAGCTTTACCACGTTGTAGCATATTCAAACCAAAATTCATATACTTCACAATACCAAGTAATAAAAACTCCTTGGTTTCTAAGGAAGTAGAACTGAAAAGTAATCTACTAACATTAATATAAAAATCTAATGAAGTAGAACTGAAAAGTAATTTACTAACATTAATTTAAACAATATTAAAGGGGTGGAAGTCATATTATGGATGACCATATGATCATTTTTTCCATGTAGGATATGAGTGAACTCATAATTTTTTTATTTTGTTGGTAAAAGTACCCAAGTTATAATTAAAAGGGAGAAAAGAAAATAGTGAATAAAAGAGACCTGGTTTGATTTTATTATTGGCTAGTGACACCATAGTAGCTTGCATTTATTGAAAGAACCACAAGTATATTTTAAAAAGCTGTGACGGGCTTGTATATTGTTACTTTGGCCTCTATATTCTTCAGCATTAGATAGCTGTATTCACCTTGTTGCCACCAGTTATAACCATTCAGAGATATATTAGTGTTGTCACCTCTGACTTCTTATTTTATCTAGAACTAATTGAACAAAATTCTCATGAATATTCAGAAATAGGAATACAAAGATATTTACTATACATGGAAAATTAATTGACTATACAGCGTTGCAATAGCATTTAAACTAGGAATAAGAACTAAAATAGGAAAATATCTGAAATTCAAATCATTGACCATATTGATTATAACCCATTTTCCCACTTCCCTCTGGCTGGTTCAAAGATGTTCTCCTACTTGCATGTTAAAACGTTTGTTTTTGAACACCTTAGTGAATATGCCCACCAGCTACTTCTCTGTTTAAAGAAATGGCATGCAGATGATTCCTCATATAAGCTTCTCTCTGAGCTGCCACTGTTTGCTTTTGCTTCTCCATGTCAATAAGTTTCCTCCAACAATTGTACAGCACTGGATGTCAATGTTCTATCCATGACATTTTAATCTGCAGATGACTTGTTCTTCTAAAGATGAATTTGCTGACCATGTTCACTGCAAATGTGATGTCAAAGGGGACTGTATGATAGATAAAGCAATTTTCCTACCAGCTTGTCGATAGCATCCTTTGACCGATACCTGTGAACTTTAATTCTCTGATCCCAATTTATGATTAGGATCAGTAGGGGTACCCAATAGGTTCACATCCAAAAAATCCACTCTTCTTGTGTCAGTCTTGTAATGATCCAGCTTCTATGCCTAAGCTGTAATATGAGTTTAGGTTCTCTCAGAGCGGACAGTACGTATGCTAATGACTTGGACATATAGGATGGTTTGTTACAGGTCCAAGGTACCACAGGACATTGAAATCCATGCCAAGAAATTGTCTAGATCGACTGAGGTCTTCTCTAGCAATTAAAGCTAGAGAACAGGTTTTTCTACTGATTCCAGTAAGGAAATCCAGCTCTTATATCATGAAGATAGATTAGCTATTTGTAGTAATTCATATAATATTCAAAATTAGGAGTACAGGGATGTATATAGATATATTTCTAGTTTACAAGGGAAAGGAATTAATTATAAAAACTAACAGTAGATTGAAAACTAGGTGAAAGAATTCAAATAGGAGATAGTTTTAGTATTTGTTGAGCCTATTGATTCGAACACCCACTTAGTTGCAGTAATTTGTGCCATGTGTGCCGTCTTATTGTCTAAATAGAAAAATGCTGCTACCATTGACATCCTTAGTGTTCGCGAAAATCGCAGTGTGCGCTGTCACGGCAAGTAATTCCCATGAAAATTGTGTTAATCAATTGTTGGCCAGATAATTGAAGTATTAAGCAATATATAAAAAAATAAATGAAATACGCGAAATCAAATTTGAAAATAAAAGATTGCTACCAGAAATTTTAATTTAACCAGGAAAAATTTTTGCAACAAAAATTATCCAGGGAGATCAGATTTTGTTGTCTTTTGATTTCCCCGGATGAAAATTTCCTCAAGGGAAATTCCTCACTTTTTAATTTTTTCCTTGTAATCTGACTTCCTGTTTTCCGGGGTCAACTTTTACTACTCCTTTCCACTTCCATTCGATCTCTTTTCATCATTGATGTCCTAAAAGTTCGGGGTTTGTCCCAAACAAGAAACTAACACAAAAATTAATGAAGTATTGACTAGAAACCACGAACAATCGCCGAGTATTAGGACGGAAGTAAGTATGCTAATACTTGTATTTTTTGACAGTGATTTGCAGGAAATGAACCCTTTTGGGTCATTTGTATAATACGCACCTTAATACTCTTTTGCTTGGAATTACTTTTTAGCTTACATTTGTTCACATGAACTGAAATACGGTATAGTTTTTGTACTCATTGTTTCATGTGTTCCTGTTCCAGCTTAAAGATAACCGTGCTTTGTATGAAGGTTATGTTCCAATGATGTACAAGCACTATTACAAGAAAATGGCAAAGTAGGGTTCTTTGAATGAAGCATTTTGTTTTTGTTCGATATGTAATGATTGCTTTTGCTGCTAAATTTTCTTCTTCTACATGGAATTTCAGGTCAGGTGAATGGGGAGACCATGTCACATTACAAGCAGCAGCCGACAAGGTAGGGTAATCATTATAATAGTAAATTTCTCTTTTCGTGCTTAGGTCCAGTCTTTCTTCATCGTACTCTTCACAGTTGTTGCTTTATATATCCTTGAGTTGCATGGCAGCAAACTATGTTCTTTTGCCGCTTCTGTTCACTTGTATCATAGGTAAAAGATTCCCCTTGAGTGGGTCAACATTAGGAAGGGCATTTGTATGCAAAGGGGGATGGGGATAAACTAGGAAGTGCTTTTGTACATAATAATATTCTTGTTCCATGCACCTGATTCACATGTAAGGTGAAGAAACCTTTTATGGCTTATTAGCTTTACCCTCCATCTCCCAGTTCCACACATTAACTTCTTAAATTTTCATTCTGCTCGTTCATGCCTCAGTCCTCACCACCCCCCCCCCCCCTCCCCACAAAAAAAAAAAAAAAAAGAAAACCTGCACACGCTGAACCTTGTCAATCTATAATCTGCTTGTTTGTGACTCTTATGTGGGCTCAATTTGTTCTCATAGTCTCCAAGTCATGAAATCCTTTAATCCTTTTAATTCTTGTATTCCACCTGTCATTTTAATAGCCTTGAAGTGGCAAATAATCTTGTATATGAAATTAAGCCTGGGCATGTTTGGGTTGGGTTGGTTTGAGCTCAATCCGAAACTGAAACAAATTTGATCGGTTTGGATAAATTCCAACTCAAAGCAATCCAATCCAACTGTTGAAATCGAACCAAATCAGACCAAATGTTTGGTTGGTTTGGTTTGGATGGTNTCGGTTTGGATAAATTCCAACTCAAACCAATCCAATCCAACTGTTGAAATCGAACCAAATCAGACCAAATGTTTGGTTGGTTTGGTTTGGATGGTCAGTTCGAACATTTGTCCAAGTTAAAAAAATTTGCCTATCCAAGGTTAAAAAAATTGTTTGCCTGTATATATAATTTTTTTTTCCTTGCGTAGTGCATATTAATAATATATATAATGTAAAATGGTAAATAGTTGGTTTTCCCAAAATCGTCCTATATATCCGATAGTTACCTACAAACAACTCCATTAAAATGAAAAGTAAGGCTACAATCTAAATTTAGAGTTTACAATAAACAATTCTTCTCCTTGCATTTCTTTTCTTTTGGAATTTGGAGTTTTGGTAGAAAAGACGTAGATGGTAAACGAAGTATTTGAGAAATAATTATATTTATGTTTTTATTATTTTATCTTTTAGACTTAAGAATATGAATTTTAAAATGAAAAAATGTATTAGCGGGTTTGGTCGGTTAATTGACGGGATGGTTGCTTAAACCGCAACCAACCTAACCTGACTTCTCAATGGCTAAAATTAACCGAACCAAACCAATTGACTCGGTTTGGTTTGATCGGTTTTTCAATTTTTTTGCCCACCCCTGTATGAAATATTTTAATATATTTTGTGTACGAAGCTATAGAAACATCATTTGTGATAATTGTTGCAATGTAGTTTGCTGCGAAGATTTGTCTTTTGACTTCATTCAGAGATACTTGCTTCATTGAAATTGTTCCACAATATCAGACACCTACGCGAGGTAATATTACTCACAATGATGTTAGACCTGTTGTAGTTAAATAAATCCATATGCTGTTTACCATATAATTGCACCATGTTCCCATTGTTTTAGTGCATAGCCATTATATTTTTTTATTGTTTTCTTATTATTATTATTTTTTTAATTGTGTTGCAGAGCTATGGTTAAGTTTTTGGTCTGAGGTGCATTACAATTCACTTTATGAAATGCAAGGTTTGTAGGACGGTCATCTAGAGTTTTGTTGACAGTCAGTTTAGAAAGATAAATAAATAAAAAGAGGGAAGCCCGAGAAGGAAGGAATGGAAAACCTTTAGAAAGAGGAAAATCAATGATTTATAACTGAATTTGTTTATTTTGCACTCACAAATGGTTTCTCCCTTGTGCAGATGCTCCCTTGCCCCACGAGCCAAGGAGGAAACATTGGTTGTTTTAAAAGGAAATAATTGTTTCATTTACACCATTTAATATGCTTCCAGAAAATATTGAGTACCAAGTTCTGCAAACATTTGATGTCTGTGTCCTGGTTAAAAGATCTATTCTAGTTAGTCATTTCTGCTATTGATGGAAAGACCGTAACATTTAATTCTATCCTAGTTATTACTCTTTCTTGTTTTATCTTTGACTTCTGTACTAGGATGTAATTGGTATTTGCAGTGGTTCAGCCATCGTCAACCTATGAATGTGAGCTAGAATCGGTTTTATGATTTCTCAAGAAAAACGTAGTTAAGCACCATCTGGTGGCTCTTCTAACGTTGGACAAGGAAGAAACCAACAAAAACCCACCAGGCATCTGGTTCTACTAAGACCTTGATCAAACCCTGCACATTCCCCGTACTACATGAATAATTCTTCATTACCAGAATAATTCTTCACAGGGTTTAACGGGTTATCTTTCTTCTTAGCACAGAAAGGGACACCGTGCGGCTGTAGTCTGCTCCGCTAGACTACCTTCCGCATTTTATCGGTCGATTCGGAACGGAAAGAAATTTGATTACAATTCAAAGAAAGCATGCAACATAAAATGGACAT